TTGTGTTGTGAACTAAGATTACATTTTTTCTTCTCCAATATTTCCAATTCAACACAAATAAGTTCGAATTTAGAAGACCATATCTACTTGTTTTTTAAATCCAGGAATTGTATTTCAAAGCTACCAATGTCAATTTCAAAAGGAGAAAATTTCAACTCGGTTATCGTAGCATTAAGAAGATTTTTGACAAATGCTAAAGTTGCTCTACTCTCTTTTTAAATTCCTGAAACCTGCTGAGAAATGCTTCCCTCATTTTAAAATTATTCTTTAAAATGGTGTTTATCAATAGAGGAATTATTTCTTGCGATGCTTCAGGAAGCTCAGAAGTGAAACAATGTTTCCCTTTCAAAATCCTGTGCAAAAATGGATAATTTGTTTTCGAATGTTATTACTTCTTCTAACATCGAAAAAAATTAAGTTTCCTTTCCCTTGTAGTTTACGATTAAGCTGATTTTTGATTAAGCTGTTTTGGATCCACTGATTGTCTGTTAGTTCTGGATAGTGAACGCCCTTCTCAAGGAGAAATGCTTTAATTTCTAAAACAAAGGGACGCGAAACGGTTTAAAACGTTCCCTCTTACCAACGTACCTTGAAGCAGAAGATCAGCGTACTCACTCTCCATTGCAAAAAAAAATTCTTTGAATTAGCGATGATTAAGAGCTTTAGCTAAAATGGAGTTGATAATGGTAATCACTAATTCCATAACTTTACAAATTTAAACGAGATTTCAAAATAGCAACAACCCCGTTTCTTACGCCGGTCATACGTTTGGCCCCATCTGTTGAAATCGACACAATTTTATTGAGGGGAACATGATGTTTATCCATACACTCAATTACAGCATTGGCGATATCTTCTGCATGTGTTGACCTTTGAGTGGCAATAATCCTAAATCTTACAAAACTGAAACTTGCGCTGTATCATTTATGTCACAAGACTCGTCAACTGCTATTGATAAGCCGAAACCAATTTCAGATCTTCGATATGCTATGTGGTTATATTCGAACCATTTTATTGTTCTATCTTTATGGTTTTGGCAGACAATGGTAAATCTTTAATTTCTTCAGAATATCTGCTTTGTTCTTAAAATCCCGAAATAGCTCTTCGGATGCATTCATAAAACAATTTTTTATGTATTCGCCGTCTGTGTACGGTTTATCTCTTTTAGCAATCTCTTGGCTACAAACAAAACTTCCCATATTAATATTGCTGTAAGATTGCATCCAGATATTAAACACAGAAGTTGACGACTCTTGACTCTTCTGAAGTTCCTCAACTGCTTTATTCCTTGCATCTAGTATATTTAGTGCTAAATGACGCGTGCTTTCTTATAAAGTGTCTCTCTAAATTTGACTTATTATGCGCGAATTTCTCCTTACAAATAAGACATGCGAAAGTCCATTCAATTTTAAATAAACGCAAATTCTCGGGTCCACTCACTTAAATTCATTTTCCTTCCGTTTTCTTTGCTTTTTTTCTTGGTAGCCCATGTTAATTGGGATGCCTATAAAAATATTCCAAATATATTTCTTTTAAGCCCCAGTACAAAATTATTATCCTTATTAAATTGATGAAAATAAAAATTAAAAAAAATCGTTTAAAAATACAATTTTATTAATATTGACTGACTAAAAAAAATATAATTTTTTTCCATCATCAGAATAACAAAACATTTAATATAACCAAAAATTGTAGAAAACTTCCACCATTTGGACAAATAGAAGTTATCGAAAAATCGATTACAAATTTTGTACCGGAACCACAAACATACATAGCAGGTGTGTAACAAAATCGTATAAAAATACCTATAAGATGTGCAGCTAGATTAAAGAATACAGCAACTTTTTAATAAGACAGAACAACGGCAGACACTGTAGATAAGACCGTACACTGCAACTGCTGCTCTGTGATGCCAATTTGTACCTTCACTACTTTATAAAAAGCATGCACGCGCATGCTGGTAGCTTGTACATGGTTTATGTTTACGTTTACGAAAACTAATAAAATTAAACTCTATGTTCGTGACGTATTTTTACAACAATATAAAATTTTAATTACCTATCTATCTTTTTACTCAAACAAAAAAATTATACATGTTCTCAAATTTATAGAAGAATTTTAATTTGTAGGGTTATATTTATTTTAACTAACATTTATTTTAAGTTTAAACTATCTTTCCTGTCAAGCCTTACTTTCCCCTGGAATTGCCAATGCCAGAGTACGTAAATTTTAGTAGAACGCGCAAGGATTCAAATTGCCAGCGGAAGTAATCTAAGATAAATAGAAGGGAAACGAGTTCGAAAGTGTGTACTTTCTTGCTTCACGAGCGTGGAGGTGGCTAGTTAGAAATTGAAGAACCACGCGTTTCGGCCTGTGTGCTTGCCTCGTTTCAACGTAATATTCAGAAGTTTGCTGAATTATCAGCGGTATCTTAGAACGCGGTGAGGTTAGTTAGTTACGTTTAGAGAGCCTCGTAGTTAGTCACTTGTTACTATTCTTTTTTTAGTTTCTTATTTTTATTTTACCGCCGGGTCGGCGTAGTTTGTGAGCGTCAAGAGCACGCATTTGTAATTTCTAAAGTTGAATAAAAAGGGATTTAAACCCTTCTCAAGACTTTGGTCTACTTTCCATTTCTTAGCAGTCACCACTGTTGTTGCGTGCAGGTTGGAAGCCCGCAACATTACAAATTTATCAAAATAAGATGTAATTTTTTTCTTACCAAATTGTTTTTTAATGAAAATATTATTGCGCCTTCTGTGGATATTTGTACCAGAGCCACACTTAAGGACCCAAAGAGCCACATGCGGCTCTGCAGGCGCAGTTTGCCGACCACTGGGCTAGACGAACAGTGACTTTATCCTTTGGCTCCTGCACATGAGCAGCTCTGATTGGGTGGCGGTCGAGTTGCTAGCTGGACTGCCTCGAATTTCATGACGTACACTAGAGCGCTTTTAAATCTTTTACATCCGTCATTCGTAGAGCTTTCTGTATTTCAGTATCCCGGATGCCGTCGATAAAGTATTGCAAGGACAGGATTTTCCTTGTTTCTGTCGGGTATTCCGAAAAGGCGAGATGAGACAGCCTTTCAACATCCGTGGCAAGCTTCTGAAGTGTTTCGGTAGGCTTCTGTGGACGAGATTTTAATTGGAGCCTGCTGTAGTCTTTTAAACACTTCTCCCCAAAGCGCAGCTCCAAGGCGCCGGACAGAGCTCCGAAATCTAACCTTTTGTTTTCGGGAAGACTCTGAAGGATATCCGCTGCGTCGGCTCTTAAAGAAGCAGCGAGATGACAGGCCTTAGCTTGGGAATCCCATCCATTCACATCCGCCACGATAGAAAATTGTGTCTTATACACCTTCCAGGAGGTCTTCCCTTCCTATGTCGATAGCTTCAGAGAGGGACGAGCAGGCATGGGTAGAAAGTTTAAACCATCCGAAGTGCTCCTTGCCGTCGCTACGAATTTCTTTAAAGTGTCAACTTCTTTGGCGACGGTAGCAGAAATTCTGTCTTCGATTTGTTATTCAATATGTCCTTGAACGGCAGAAACTCTTTTTTCAGTTTGTTGTTGGATGGCCGAAACTCTTCCTTCGACTCCTTGCTCCACAGCCGACAATCTATCTTCTATTTCATCTTTGACAGAAGAAACCTTTTCTTCAATTTGCCCGACTTTATTTTCGACAGCTCCTATTCTGTCTTCCATAGCCTTCGAATTTACGTTTCTATTACGCAGGTTATTTCTCTTTTTATTTCCTCTTGACCTGCTTCAATCTTTTTTTGTAATGGCTTTCATCTCCTTTTTAACGTTACTGACCAGTTCCAACTTGGCATGAACAATTTCATTCATCTTCATTTTCTTGTCTCACTTTCATTTCCTCTTTAACGGAGTTAACGGCCCCTTCCATCATTTCTTCGGAAGCAGCAATTTCTGATTATTAATTGCCTAAATTGTTCTTCCATCGCTCATGTTAATTGGCATTCAAAAATATCACTTCTGACACCAAAAAGTTTTGCGTGCGTACGGGTTCGTTAGGAATTGAATGCACAAGTCCGATGAAAATAAAGAAAATTATTATTATGACAACATATTGATTAATGTCCTCAAATAATCGTGTATTATCACAATATATCACAGTAGTACCTCTAACTACTCAAACGTTCAAAGAGACTTAATTCAAAACAGCCTAAAGAAAGCTAATCCGCGAATTCGCTACATCAACAAGAGCAGTTTTCTAAACAAACTCTTAAAACAGCAACAAACTAACTAACTCATCGAATTGAGAGGTTTTTCTCCTATTTATAAGATTTTAAATTCGCGCGCGAGAATTTTCTAGTACTTTCTCGAAATCAAAAAGAGATATTTATTAAATGTTACATGCACGCGCTCTTGTATTTTCAATTTTCCGGGTTAGCTTTCTTTTAATATTCGTCACGCGCTGCACTGCACGGGAAATAAAACCATTTAATTTAGAATTCAACTAATAAGCTATTTAAATACCAAATCCGTAACAATACGAATACATATTTGATAAAATGCCAAATATAAAGGTCTTATGCAATTGCTATTTATTAAGAAAAGATGCAGTTTAATCATTTAATTTAATACTGGATGTTGAAATTGGGTTTTGTATAGAAAATGTAAATTTGATTAAAAAAATATTCAGTTAACATGTTCGAAATTTTACAAAGATTACTCAACATGAAAATAATCCTAAGAAAAGGGAAGTAGCAACATATGTTGCTACAAACTACATAACTTCAAAATTTCAAATTAATAATTGTTAGAGTTTATCTTATGTAACATATTCGTAAAAATTCAAACAGTAAATAATATTAATCTTAAAACTAGTGGAGTACCAATTATTTAGATTTCGTGACAAATTTTTTTAAATCAAACACGTGTATAAATATTTCCACATATGATTTTATGATCATATTAATAAATTAGTTTCTGAAATAATCTAATATTAATATTGTGGAATAGAGGAAATGACATAATACAAATTTCAGAAAAATATCAACTTTATTTACATTCCTTCATCACAGTTAAAGACAACACATTCACAGAATGACTCACAAAGAAAAGGTTTCCAACCATGGGCGGAATGGGTGCAATTATCTCCATTGTTTGAGCAGTCCGTAAATAGCCATCTGCCTGGAAGTATGTTTTTTCAATTTATTGCACCGGGTTCAGAATAATGAGCGAATTAGATGTCTATACACAACAAACAAGATCTTGACAGAAAATATTCTCAAGAAAAGTGGGTTTCTGGCCCTGGGTTCCTAGCTGTGGCCATCTATGCCAAATCTGCAAGACAATTAATGAAAGTGTGAAGACAATTGTAATATTCTATAGCAAGTTTTTTTATCTATCTCTGAAGTAAATTCAGACGAATAAATCATGATAATACTAAAATCCTTTTAATAATTTAAAGTTTAAATTAATACAAAGACACACACACATACCTATATATATTCAAGATAAAAACATACGTAAATCAAAATTAAAATTTAAACTAACGGATAAGACATATATGCTTCCTCTCTGTTTTAAAAATCGTAATAACTTCTCTGTATCGCGTGATTTCTAGATCATTATATGGCCTGCGAAGCCATGATGACGTAATAATTGGGAACCAAAACTTTTCTCTGCCCGTGCTTCCATATTGCATTACAATAGACTTTAGCTTCGCTCTCTGTCCTGCTAAGATGTAATTTCGCTGTCTTGATTGCTATCACTGTAATATCAACAAAGAAAATGTTCTTGAATAGCACGATTAGAGTGCCAAGTGAATTGTGGCCACAAACGTCAACTGGAAAATAAAAATGGACTTAAAACTGCCTCGACAGCCAAATTTTCACCTCATTCAATGTCATTTTTTTTTTAATTTCACTTCATTTAATGTCATTTTTTAAAAGAACTGTGTTGAACTTTTTCTTGGAGCCACAGCTCCTGATAACTTTTTGGCGATCTAACTACAATTTTTCTTCTCATTTTCTTAATTTTGCCGCATATTGCGCAAAAGATTTTGACCAAATTGGTCTTTTCAGTATTGTACATACAATTTAGTTTATAATATTATATAATATATAGTATAATATATTATATATATATGTAATATGTGTAAATATATGCATATATGTAATACATATGTATATATATATATATAGTAATAATAAAATTCCATAGTCTAAAATACACTTAAAATTCTAACTGTATGTTCTTTTCATTTTTTAATGGCGACGGTCTCTTATTTGAAAGTACTTGGAATTAAATCCAAAGCTCCGTAGTCAAGTTGTTTTTCCCGCTTTTTCTACACTTACAGTTATAGAATGTTCTGGAGATATTTAAAGCGAACTGGAATAGTTGATGAGGCTGACATCATTTCTTGGAAGCTCCGCATTTCCAGACATAGCAAAAGGACTCGCAAAGGAATAACGGGGTCTTTTCTTTAATGTAACGATGCAGTAAACTTCATACAAAAAGTCATTAGTTCTTTTTTATTTACTCCGGAGATCTGGTTTTTGTAACTGCTATTTCTCCTGAATAATAATAAATGGATCCTGTTTTTTAAACTTATTGTCTGATACTTTGAGCTTCGACTACGTATATGATTCTTCACCAATCTATTTTATTCCGGACAAAAGCTGGTACATCACACACACACACACACACACATACATATATAATATATATATATAAATTGTAGTAAGCTCGCCTAAAAGTTCCAAACTGGCTTTTCAAGGGAAATTTCATTTATTTGAACGTCGAATCAAGCTAACCCCATTACGCGTTTCGCCGAAACAGACAATTGAAACTTTTTCGCTAAAAAATTTTTAAAATTTAGACAAAGTGTCTATTAAAATTTCCAAGACACTTTGTCTAAATTTAAAAATTTTTTTAGAATTTTTTAGAAATTTTTTAGAAAACTGGCGAATATTTGTTTTTTAGCTTTTTTATGTTGTAAATCTTGGTTTACAATTTTATTTTTTGTTGCTACTGATGTATGTAAAGATTTGCAATAGATTCCTGAGCCGGCGGATTTTTCTCATGTTACCAACAATTTGACTTTAGAAACTAGAAACAGTATGTGCCTTTTCGGTATTCGGTTGGAGTCTTCTATGCATGTAGAACAGATAGATAGATATAGAATCAATGATTGAGGGTTTTTCCCTTTCCGATTAATAATGCTGGTTATTTGGAACTTCGAAATTTTAATATCATGCCTTTCACATCGTTAAAGCCACAGCTAGTTTACATGCGGCAGTTGGAAAGAGAAATAAATTTAAAATTTAGCGAAGAAAAATTGTTATTCTAGAACATCTGCTTTTTTAAAATTCTTTATCGAAATCCTTTTAAAAATGCGTCTGCATCCTCTGTATTTAACCTGGATGAGCTAGAAACCCATCCTCACTGCTAAGCTAGTCTGAAGCAGAACAGATCAAATTACTAGCTTAAAGAAATATTCCCGAACATTTGCTGCTTTATCAAAGTCGTTCTAAAAAATCTGCAAACGTTCTCTGAAATCAATTTCGCTGAACTAGGAAGCCAATCGCATTGCCAAACTAATCTGAAATTAAAACAGTACAGATCAATTCATCCAGGAATGAATACAAAATTTCAATATGTGAAAAAAATGCATGAATAATATGAATGCATGAATTTACGAGAATGGTCGAAATTATACATAACATTATAGAATTTTTAGTGGTTTTTTTTTTAAATCCATTAGCTACTCTGTTGGATACCGCTTTATGTACTATTACACTTATGTGATAAGCACTAAGTAAGCAAAGCTCTGTTAAGAGACCAAAGAAATATTAAAAGGGTTATAAATTTATAAACTAATCTATACTATTGACATAAATATGATCTATATTTACAGAAATTATTAAAATCCTATGGCTAATAACGTGCATGGTGTTATTTGTCTAAGTAGAGCATTTACTTTATTTCAGTACAAAATGTTCGAATGCAATACAGATAATTTTAGGCAAGTCGAAGTATTAGAATTGAAAGTATTAATGATTGTGTTTAATAATTCTAGATTACAGAACAATAAAAAAAGATTTCTTCAATATGTTTTTCATCATAATGACATGAGACCAAAAACACTCATTATTTTAGATCAAGAGAAAGAGAGGCTATTGTTATATGGAAAATTTTTATTTGGTGTTTAAATACCTTTAAACTTTAAACTTTGCTGCAAGGTGCCGGACAAAATTACCAAAAAAATATCATAATCAAAAATCAAATATCAAATAATTCAAAACATTCAAAATCTAATTCATAATATTCATATATCATTTCGACATTCTTATAAATATTCGTACGTAAATCTATCAATCAATCGTATAGTGGTATAGTACAATTTACTTTTTAGGTTTGCGTTGTAAGTAACCTATGTAAAGGGAAAATCAATAACTCCAAATTCAAGTAAACTCCATGTTTCTTAAAAGCCACCCGGCTCAAACAAATGGAGGGACATGACAGACCACAGAAACTACACTAAATTAAACAAATGAAACATAAAATACATATCAAACACATTTATTAATTTCTAGAATATTCAAACATATGATAACTAGGTAAACTGATCAGTCCCCTACAAATTAACCTTAAGATGTAAATTAACATATATATCATTTTAAATCTCATACTCATGTTAGGTGTACTAAATTTCTTTTAACATTACATAACTCACAATTTAGGCGGTTGTACCGTATATTAATATAGTATCATTACTCGGTTACAATTTAAATACAAAAGACAGAAAAAAAAATCACTCACAGGGTGAAGTTCATACATTCAACTCCTATGCCATCATCGACTGATTAATATGGAGTGCTGATAGTTCAACAGATCGTCCTACTCATTGCGTTGACCATTCGAAGAGATCGAGAATGCCATCATCGACGGATTAATACGGAGTTTTAGAGAGTTCAACAGATCGTCCTACTCATTTCGTTCACCATTCGAAGAGATCGAGAATGCCATCATCGACGGATTAATACGGAGTTTCAGATAGTTCAACAGATCGTCCAGCGTCCAAAGTTTACTCGAGCACCACATTATTCCTGCTGTCCTTTATTCACAAAATCATCGTTAATGGAGGCAGACAGTTCTTGCGAATTTTAAAGATGACTTGGTTGCAACACCATTGAAGCTGTCCTTGCAATAAATAAATTCCAGAGCATGGAATGATGAAAAAAAAAAAAAATCGACGCAGCTGGCACAGGCAGAATATAAAACAGCAATGCACACCTTAGAAGGGTCCTACACGAGTCTCTTTCATTCTGGAAGCCCCGAAACTCATCATAAGCGTAGAGCACCTTTGGAACAAAATCTAATTAGGAAGTCAAAGCCGGTAAAAACAGGAATACCGCATCAGGATGTCAGGATCACCAAGAGAATCTGCCGAGCAATTCTTGGGATAAGAGAAATCGAAATTCCTCTGCTGAGCTCTATGCCTTATGCCAACGCAAATTCTCGCCAGCTAAAAGCCGAGAGAAAAATCATACCCTCTGCCGGCTGTTCACGCGGCTCGCGAGAAGCGAGACCCGTAGGGTCAAGCCCCACTTTTTTCTCCTCTTACTCTTCTTGCAAATCAGAATCAGAATAATGAACTCTAGCCTGGTGCAAGCACCCAGGAAAACTCGGTTTCTCCGCCTCTGTGAGCTCATAGGCTTTCAAAAAAATCATAAAATTATATCTTACCAATCCCGGAATTTTAAGTTATCTAAATTGAGAAAATGACACACCCATGACGAATCAAACACCAGAAAATCTGACAATGCAATCCGAAAAACATCTGCACTCATAACGTGAGAAAAGAAATAGACCCCCCAACTAACAAGTGAAACTAAGCTTCTACGAAAATCCAATTACCAGCCACCCCCACTGTCTTGAAGTAATAAAACTGCAAACTTACAAAGCGACAAGAAAACAACTTCCGTTTCACACGCATGAGCTAAAAGGGCGACATTGTTAGTGAAAAGGCCATAAACCAGATGTGTGTCCTCGCAACCGTCTCTCGCCTTTGTTACAAATCCTATTCAAGAACAGCAAGTTAAACAACACCTTAAGAGCCTAAGAATACTTCTTTTTCCAGATTAAAATACACATGAATACAAATAAAAATATTAGAATAATAATGACTTAAAACACATATTAATAATTGAAATTCTCGACATAACACTATCTACGTTATTCCACGCACACTGATTGCCAAAACTCTAGACTATTATCATTTCATTTAAAAATGCGACAGTTTTAAAATTTATAATCTTTATTCTATATTAGCAAGCGCAAACTAATTCTGATGATAGAATTTATATGCAATGCATTCTCACAATCTTTTAATTTCCATATCAGAGAATACTACTTGAACTAAAATTTTTAGTTTATGAATTAATTAAAAATTTATACCTTGGAGATATCTTTCTCAGTACTTCGTTATTTGTTTAAGCTTAGGTTTTTGGAAGCTTTTAAAATTAATTAATTCACTAGATTAAAATATCATCCCAATGAAAATATGTGGAAGTAATAACAGTAATAATTAAGAAATAATTAGATTGTAATTTTACTCCCAATCGATGTAATTTATTAATAAAATCCCAACCCAATTTCTACTTAAAGAATTAGCTCAGCTTAATTCAATTTCTAATAATATGTTGCCGTTAATTAATTATATTATATATGTTCTTAGGAAAAATGGAATTGCTATTTTGCTATTTTAAATTCAAGTAGGTATATTACGGAACACTAAAATCTTACTTTTATTAAAAGTAGCTTTAATTAAAAATTTTAAATCTGTAAAAGTTTAAGGATAAATAAACAGAAATTATAATTAATAATGACACTTGTAAAATATATAAAATAATTTCTAGAGATATTTAAATAATATAACCATTTTAAATAACGTAGGAAATTTTCATTTTTAAAAGTCTAAAGCAATTGTATAAAGATTTTTATCAAAATTTTAAAATAAAAATATGACAATTAAAGCTACATGGAAATAACTGTGGAAACACTGTGTCTTGTTCGAGTCAAGCTCAGCAGATATCATTACGTATATATTCAAACATAAGATTTTACCTTTAATTAATTTTTTTTGGTTATTAATTTTTTTTATTTCTTATTTTTTTTATTCTGATTTAGATAGTTAATTCTATATTTTTCTTTTAAATGTCATTTTCTTTTATTTGTTTTGCTTCTCATCCAGGTACAATTCAGAAACCTAAGGTCTATTGAAAATTCTTTCGACTGCTTCTTCCCAAACAACAAAACAATAGCAGATTTTAATAATATGTGAATTCTTTTTTATTATGTTAATGTATTTTTGGTTTAGTTTTGTTCAATCGTTTTCAATCACATTTTTTGTGATTTATTATTAATAAGTTTACTATTATACAAGATATTAATTTCTATTTATTTTATCTATTTCTTGGTAATTTAATCAGTTTCGCAGCATTTTATACGACATTTTATGATTTATGACACATTATTTACACTATTTCAAAATATTTTTTAATTATCTATAATATGAAGGTAATGCAAAATAAATTAAAATAAATAATATATTTCAAATTCATTGCATATTCAATTCGGAATAAACATAAGGCTAAAAAACCAAAATATCAGAAGCACACTGGCAAATTATAAGAACAAGAGGGAAAAACAAGTCAAAAAAAAAAAAAAAATTACATTTTTCGCTGCATCGTCATGAAGGGTTTGCTTAGAGAAAGAAAGAAAGGAATAAATACAAAGTAAAATGCAGTTTAAAACCTAATCCACTTGCGAGGTTGAAAGTAGCAACAAGTAGTGGTAATAATGCAAACTAAATTAAAATTAATAATACATTTAAAACTCATTCCATATTCAATTCCGAATAAACATATGCAAAACCAAAAACAACAACAAAAAAATTCTGGAATCACACTGGCAAACTTGAAGGAAAAGGGGAAAAACCATATCAAAACCAAAAATGAAAAACGAAATTTCCATCTTTCACTGTACCATCAACAAGGGAGTCCTGGGATTGTTTGTAAATGAAAAACAGGGCAGATCTTAAAATATATAATTCTGTGATTGTCCATTATTCGGATTTCAGTTTTAAAGTATTTCTCCCGCCTTCCTAGCGTGGTGTGGTGGTCTGCAACCTGGCCCGGTATTCCAGAAGTCCGTGGTTCGATTCCCGGCGAAGGCGTTTGCTAATTTTTCATCTCGCCTGCTAAAAAATACCTGCTGTCTCTCTACAGTGGCGTCCGAACTAAAAGAGTGTTGGATGATGATTCTCCTCACCCAGGATTTGGCGATTGGGTCTCCTAAAATCCCCAGTCGCCGTGATGTGGTGATCTGCACACTGGGCCGGTATTCCAGAGGTCCGTGATTCGATTCCCGGCGAAGGCGTTTGCGCATTTTTCATCTCTCCGGCTTTTCCAATTAACCTAATGTCTCTATACAGTGATGAAAATAGTCACATTATGCAGTTAAAGGTTAAATACGAAGACAGCAAATTTTGTAAATAATTAATAAAAAAGAAAATTTCAAAAAATCGAAACTATTTAGGGTTCATAATCAGGGATGGGATCCCAGAAGTCCATAAGACATTGTTTACTGACTCTACTCTTTTTGTACATAAAATAGTTCTAAGCTTGAGCACTTCGGCTAGTTGTTGATGTAGAAATGTCTTTGGTGTTTTAAATCTTTATAGCACAAGTTAAGCTCTAAACAAGACTGAGACGTTCAAGCTTTTTGACCATTCTGACATGAAAACAGAAGGCTACAAAAATATTGTAGAGGTGTCAGGAAAGATGTATGACCGACATCGAAGAGCAACAATTATTTCAGTTGGAGTCAGAAAGCCGACAGAATGCATTCACGATCGCAGAGCATTCACGTGTTACTCAGTTTAGCCTTGCCTTTATATCATATCTTTATCATGACTGTAATTTTCAGTTCTGTGGTAAACGATAAATTTCATATTTCCGACAAATATTAAAGAACTACAAATTCGTAACAATAAACAGAAAATTTATATAAGCCCAGCGAAGTCCGAAATTATATGGTTCGCAAACGACTTTCTCAACTTAGTAGAAATATTTAAAGGGGAACCAAAAATGTTCTCCGAATAGATCTATAGCATTGTAAAAAGACATTTATGTCTAGAATTTGGTTAGGAGATGTGAGAATAGAGTGATGTAGCTGCAGAGGAACTATGATTTTGTTTTTCTTGGAATTGCTTGTGTTTTCTCATTTTAATGTTTTTATTTCATTTCTCATATACAACATTTCAAATTAAAAGTCAAAACTAAATGGACATATGTTGTTTATGTAATAAGTAAGCTTGTGTGCCTATATTCGAATAATTAAAATTATATCCATTTACCAGAAACTTCTGAATGGCAAACTTACACCGCCATCTCCTGGGCTGGATGTTCCCAGGCTTGTAAGCAATCCACTTTGGTATTCAGTGTGTGAGGCTTTGATGAAGATAGCAAAGGTTCCCTAATCCCAATTTCTCGTTCCCCTTGTGGAATTCTAGCGCCCAGATGATATTGACCTTCAAAAACATCTTGACCTTTACCTGAAGCTGGATACTGGTGCTTGGCTTTGCTAGGTTGGACAAGATCCAATGTTTGGCTTCCATCGAATTCTGTCTGTGGGCAGTATTGACTAAGCATCATTGAAGAAGAAAGATCTTTTACCAGGAAGGGCTTTTCTCCAGACGGATGACCATCATCTTCCTCGTTTCTTCTTTCCTGAAAACGAAAAGAAAACCTAGTAAGTCCTTAACTTTACAGAAGAATACAAAGTAAATTGTATTTATGTAGGTACTGTATTTTTAATACCGGTGTTTGTAACTGCGACATTGCTCATAGTCAACTGTAGTTCAGAAAAATTGATAATAGACTATAAGAAAGTCGGTTTTCATACGGAAAGAGTTGACGTCTCTTTTATCATGAAAATCAAAATCTTTATGAATTAACATTTTAGCGAACTTTTTTTCAGCTATACTCTAAATAAGTTTATTTTCAGTACCGCAATCCTTCTGCAGCTTCCAATAACGATTGAAGAGTATTTTAAACAATATTGCTTAACTCTATGTATTCTGGTAAAAAACGAATACAACAATTCCGCTCGATTTACAGAGAATGCAAAGAAATTCCTTTAACGAAAGAGGTCTACTAAATCTCTTTACTTAGCACTCTACAAGTACTTTTACGAGATCGTATTTATCTTTGTCCGTAATCCGCTGTAAACGAGCTGGAGAGCACAGACCCTGCCACAGCGCTTGTTATCGAGAAACGGAAAAGTGGGACTTCAGTAATTCATCACTTCCTCTCCTTCGAGATTAAATTGTTCTCTCAACAGGCTAGATAAAAGGAAAGTTTCCTTGATTGCTTTGTTTTAGAACACAGCTTATTCCAAAATTAAACTGAACTGATACAGAATCGAAGAAATGGAATGCATTAAATCAGTGAAATTTAATGAGATTAATGTAAGCTATTATGGAAATATTTAACTTCCTATTTGGTTAAAGGAATAGTTTAAATAAGCTATAGGCAAATAAAAAATATGGCCTTAAAGCGTATTTCATTGTTTTGTCATGCATGATACATGCATGCAATTGCTCTAAGAAATTTCCGATACTGTCTTAAAAGTGCAATTCGTAGTCTATAAAAATGTCACAATGGAAATTCAGCAGTTTTATTAAAATATTAACCAGATGATATATGCATTTGTAGACAGTGACAAATAATATCTGTTAAATTGCTCTATTTTTTAAAAGTAAAAAGTGACTTTAAATTACTTGGAGATTTCAGACTTGTAGAATTATAGCAATTCACTTGTGGAATTCTAATATTTTAACAATGCCATTACCATAAGACTGAAAATATCGACTTCTGTTAGTATCCCTGTTTTATAATATATCGCACATAGCCAGCAATAGGAATGCTCAGAGCAATAACAAGTATCATATACAATATAAATACTAAAAAATAAAAGAAATTTAAAAATACAAATATTGGCACTTAATTAAATGTATGATTTGAACTGGTGTTAACATTTGGTAATTTACGGAATGAAACAGTAATACAGGATACCCCATGAACTTGAATATTTTAAATATAAAATAGTTGAATTTATCAGACTGTGGTTTGCATTCAAAGTCACATCGAACGTTACAACGTAAGAATAAATTTTAGATCGGTCGATAGATGGCTCTGTGAGCATCATACTATAGGAAAAAATGAGAGAAATTAGTACTGTACAAAATTTTTTGGTTTGGATTTGTGAGCATATTACAATACTACTAATAACGGAAACAGTTCATCCTGAACTTTCACTGCCGCATCTTGTTAAAGACCTAAACGTTTTGCACTTTCACGGTATTAAAGGTGCAGTGTCGTCTAGAAGATTGAATATGAATGAATGTTTGAATATGAATATGTTTAAATGTATCTAATGTTCATTCTTTCCCCCTTCCTTCCCAAAGAAATTGTCCAGTGATATGACAAATCTTTAAACGCAAATCACACCCTGATACATAAATTCGTTGATTTCATAAGATGCTTTATAAGGTATTCAAGCATTTAGGCTTTTATTGAGCAATCTCTTATTAGGATGGTGAGCATTAATATATTTTTGATAACAGAGCAAAACATTGCGCATTTTATAAAATCTGCACAATTTACAAAGCCTTCGCCGGGAATCGAACCTCTGGATACGGATCCATTGTGCAGACCACCACATCACGAAGGCTCGTTAAGAAGAGGGGAGAAATACCTTATATACTCGCCCTTTTAAAAGGCGACTGGTGATTTTAGGGCACACAGTCGCCAAATCCTAGGTGAGAAAAATCATCATCCCCACCCCTTTTAGTAATCGCCTTCGCCGGGAATCGAACTATGGATCTCTGGAATACCGGCCCAGTGTGCAGAACCACAATACCTCGAAGGCACGCTGGAAAGGCGGGAGAAATACTTTATAAATTAACTAGCTGTACAATCGAAACCCCAAATCAAAAACAAGTCAAAAGCAAAAATACAATGAAAACACAAACATACGATTTGCTAAAATTTCAATAAAAATCTATGCCTTAATGCATTCCTACAGCATGTAGCCAGCTAGTACCTGGCATTTAATAAGAAACCAAATCTTCGTACTTAAGCTTAATGCCATTCTTGTTGTGCATATTAATGGTCAGTAGCCAATATGCAGACTTACATTTTTAAAACTTCTTAAGTGCTATGCTTAATACATCCCATACAATATGCAATAATTTATTGTAAACAATTTTTTCTGGCGTGTTTTTTTTTTTTTTTTTTTTTTTTTTCAACTCCCATATTATAGCCATACCAACAAACTAAACAATTTAAAGCAATTGGAAGATTATTTTTGTTGTATAGGTTAGGACTGCTGTAATTTTTGTTTTATAAATTTAGAGATTTCAGAGATTTTCATTTTAAATTTCAGAGATTCTTGAGTTGATAAAGCTGATATATGTCAAATTCTGAAATCCGCAAATCGGGCTGTTTTGGCAATTACAATGTCATTCGCTTCTAATGCTTCTTTCATCCTTGACTGTGAATAAGACAAGAGCAAATGTCAAGAAAGATGAATAAAACGAGAAAACAAATGCAGGCTATGTTAAAGAATGACTACTTTTAACAATGGAAAATTTTTAAATTTTATCAGTGACAAATCTTACTATTTCTAAAGAAGTAGTTAGTTTATTAAAATGGCGATAAACTTATGAATAAGTGCTTCCAGTGTTTCACTTGTATGTAAGGATGGGTATAGCAATATCCTTAAATAAATGATATATCACGGTGTAAATTGCACATGAAATAAACTCAAATAACGTGATATACAAAGAAATATATAGTGACTATAATGAAGTGAGTTTTGATTTTTATGCCATCATATTTGTCGAACAGATGTTCATTTAGAAATTTTACATTTTGTTTATCTATGATAATGATTCATAAATATCTTAAAGGTGAGGGAAGCAAATACAAATGAAACCTGAGTACTTTGCTAAGTTCTAAGGCAATGTTTTTACTAGGCTGTCGCTCTGAATATAAATTTTGCAAATATAAAAGTTAGCTGGTTGTCGACAATTACGATCATGTATTTCTTTGTTTCTTTGATTAAGAAGCATTCTATTATTTGATTTTTGCCCTTGTAGAAGGTGATAAAAATTTATTTTTGCCCTTGTAGAAGGTGATAAAAATTTAGAAATGATACAAAGCAGATCTATTAGTATGTTTTGATAGTAATATTTTTTAAAAAGATAATCCTTTAAAAATTCAATTAAAATTTTTCATTTGGATATTTTTTTATGTCTTTTATTGTGCAATGAATTCCCTATAACTGTTCATCCAACAGAACATTATTTTTCTTCAAAAAATTGTGTGGTTTAAACTTCATAATTTAAAGTTCTTGATAGAAATTCAGTACAGACATTTCAGTAATTCAGCACAGAAAATACTCAGCTACTTCAATAGACAAATACAGTTTACAGCTAATAATGTAATAAACTTTTCCTTTAGCTGTTTCACGTTGAAGTCGCACAAAACGCTTGACCATTCAGATATCGGCAGGTCGCCTGAGCGCCTGAATCATTTTTTACCTGGTGCTTCCCCCCATCACGTTAGTGCATGGTTCATTGGTTTCGGGAGTTGTTAAATTACATGTCAATCATTCGTTGGAGAGAATAAAGGTAGTTCTGTTATTTGAATGCACATTTCTTCTCCTTTGCTTAGCGTCAAAGTTTAGCTATTGAAGGCCGAAGTTGCAATCCCATCCAAAGGGAAAACTTCACACAATGGGTGAGAACGTATGAAGATCCCAAAAGAGAAGTTGTCGCTTTAACTTAAGTAGGTTATTGTTAGCGCTGTAGCATTCTACATTGCATGGGGGGAGGAAATCCATTCTAACAAAAATACATAGATACGGCGTTTCAGATTTTTGGCCTCTACCGATGCGAGTTAAAGTCTACAATTTTCATGCATTCAATTTTTAAATAAAACATTATTTTACTTTTACATATTTTAAGAGTAAATACACACTAGAGTAAATTAAACTAGAATAATTTGAAGTATGTCACTCATCATATTTTGCGGTCAAACATGGTAATTTTCTTTAAAAGGCTATGAAAATACTTCTTCCTTACTTAGCACAATTACCTATTAACTGCTATTGCAACTAATAAATTTATCTGAAATAACTGAATATACATTATTTGAATTCTGTAACTTTGTCACGTATGAAATATTTCAGTGATGAATGCGTTATTAAAATGGCATATAAATTTTAAGAATGAATGTTTGGTGTATAAATTTGGCATTGCTCTTTCTCAAAAGTGCTCTTCCTTTTCCGTGCCTCTGAGATTATTACATTCAAATTATATAAAATCCGGAATAAAATTTCTTATTAGTAGTTTGTTGAAATTTCAGAAAAGTTTTAAAATTTAATCGATTTTTAAAACAATGCATTGCATTGTAACTTCGAATATTTGCTAAAACTTTGTGATCTTAGTATTAAACCACAACAAGAATATGAAAAAAAGTTAAAAATTCTTATCACGGTACTAATAATTTAACTGCTTTAGTGATAACTCAAAACCGTACTTTGTAATATTTCCATTTGAAAATCACATATAATTTATAAAAATGTTAATTCTGTACTCAGTCACAGTTTTAATAAAAACGAATTTTAATAACAGTAAAATATGCTTATTTAATTATCTTAC